ATAATAAAAAAAACAACAACTAAAACTCCGCACTGAACGAACCCGAACCAGTCTTTACTTTGCCCGAACTGCTGATGAACAGCAGTCGATCTGCGCACGCAAGGAAGTGCTTTTACTATTCTTCTTCTGGAAAAACGAAAGAGAGCTTCAAAACAGACTGCAGCGCCATCTGAAGCAAAGAGCGAACTTCCTGCGGACATTTTTTTGGCTGAGTGGCCCATCTTGTTATTTACTATCTTTGCTCCGACCGAAGCAAAATATTGTTGTTTTTTGATGAGACAAAAAAGTGCATCCTGATAATGGCGACGTGAAACAAGATGAGGAAGCGACCACAAATATAGAAAAACGAACAGTTTTTTAGGTATAGCATATTCATTTTTTAGTCTTATACTCCTAGAAAATCTCCAGAAAGTCTTGATTTTGTGCTAGATCGTGGAAAGGGCGGCGTTTTCGTCGAAGACTCGCTCAGTCTCCGTCTTGACGTGATCAGTCTCCTCGGACTTGGTCAGTGCTTCTCAGAACCAAGGCAGGCAGGCTTCTGTGTTGTTTAGTTTATAGGAATAGTTTTACGCACTTGCAACACAATAATTTCATAAGTGCCAAGGATTAGAAGTGTTAAAGAGCATGACAAGCACAAAAGAGAAGGAGGGAAGATGCAGATGATAGATGTTTGATCTGAAAGGAAGGACGAGCAAACCACACCAGAGCACCCGCCAACCACCCGCTTACTGGGTTGAGTTTCAGGTGGCAGTTTGTTCAGTGATCTTGGCTTCCCTCAATATTTGCCAGCTGACTTCGAGTGTTACTGTAGTGATCTGTGGTGATCTGTGGTGCTATTTGTAATGGAGATGAGTCGATGAAGGGAGCAGTGAATGGAACCCTGTAGATCTATAGATCTGAGCAATTGCCAAAACGTGAGACTCTCTTGACTCTTGAGACTCAGTGGTGCAAAAAAAATTTTCTTACCAATTTGACTCCCTTTTCTGTCAGTCACAGATTGGCATTTAGTGCTCATATTCCTAGAGTATCAGAGCAAGGAGAAATAGGGTTTTGGAGATGGGAGTGTATACAGACCCGGTAACCGGGAATAAAGTCACAAAGTATACAGACCCGGTCGGGGAACTCTTTTGTGATTTCGGAAACTTTCAGCACCCTCTTGGCTCAGGGTAGAACTAGGTTCTTCTAGATCTATGGCCTAGGTCTAGATCTAGACAGACAGATATAAATCATTGATCTAGTTTCGAGGCTAGCCTAGATCTAGACTGTAGACTGTAGATCTAGATCTAGATTCTAGATCTAAAACTAAATGAAGATTGCAGATGTCTTTTCGATGAACGATCGTTTTTCCCCAGTTTTGGAGTTGGAGGAATCACAATTTGAAGAAAAGAACAATGTCATAATTTCAATCGAGCAGTCTCTCTCTCTCTCTCTCTCTCTCTCTCTCTCTCTCTCTCTCTCTCTCTCTTTAACTCACACAGACACAGACACACACACTACCGGGTCTGGGCGCTGAAACCTTCCGAAATCACAAAAGAGTTCCCCTACCGGGTCTGTATACTTTGTGACTTTGTTCCCGGTTACCGGGTCTGTATACACTTCGTTTGGAGATATGGGTCTATTGGTTTGGCAATCACTGTATTTCTTGTGTTAAAGTGATGACAAAAACTGATAAGCAGCAAGGCAAATTATGTACTTTAAATTCCATTTGTTTAGTAAACAAAGACTTTGTACACTTGAACTCCATTCATAATCATAATGGTAATATAAATGACAAGCTTTGTAACAATGACGCAGTGGTCAGAACATGTCATCATTGTTATGTACAAGAAAGGATACACATTGGACATTATCATTGACAACACATCACAATAGTGAAAGGCTGTACAAATACAGAGTTATCAAACCCTCAGTACCAAAAATACACTTGTGTAAAACAATTTTTAAACTAATATGAGGCAAAAGCACAAAATCAATGGAGCTGACTTGTAATAACAGTGATGACAAACATGACTTGTGCATAACAATGATGACACAATGTACAGGAGAAAACAAAGTCATGCCTCCAGAGAGAAATGCGCACTCTAAGAATAAAAAAACAAACAGGAGAGGTTTCTTTTGCTTTGAAACAGATATCAGGTCATATCAAAGACAGTGGATAATCACAATTATGTTGCTTATTATGGCAAACAGTGCTCGTGCATAACAGTGACGAGTGATGACAAAACATACTGGGAAAAGGTAAAATCATGCCTACAAAGAACAAATTTGCACTATGAGATACACAGATCAATAAAGGCGTATTTTGCTTCTAAATGAATCTTGCATCATGTATGAAATATGTTGAAAACTTATTGATATTAGCAATGATGACAAGTATTACTTGTACATAACAATGATGACACAATGTATCGGAAAAAGGCATATCATACCAACAATGTATTTTTGAGTTAGACAGATAAACAAGGACATGTTTGTTTATTTGAGTAAAGAGAGCACACATGATTTTAAAAATGTTTGCTCTTAGGACAATGTAATTTCTAGTACGTCAGTCAGTCTTGTACGGCTGCATGACGACACCCCAAACGTCATCACTAAGCACAAAAGCTATATCTATAACCACAGAAATGACCCATCTCTTGAAGTTTGTTCACACATCACACTCTTGTTCCAGGAATCCAATGTAAATACTGCAGTTTCACTAAATTATTCAATAGTGACAATAGGGTAGCCTAAAAACACTCAAAACAGTCCAGTACGTCACATTCAACGTAAGATTCTTGTGCGTCACCGGACGCTGACGGCAATGACTACTTTCGTTTTTCTCTTTCCCCCGTTGCTTCCGCTGTTCTAGGGAAGCGGGTAAGGGGAAGTCACTCAAGAAAACAATTATATCCGGGCACTGTTGATGATCCGTTCAAAACAAAAGTAGGCTAAAATTCTGACTTCCGGTACGTCGCAAAGTGACGACGATCTCGGCGAATGTTAAACATCAGACTGAAATCGTAGATCTAGGAACCCGATGTTCCTTTCGCGCATCGCGGCTTTTGAAGTATTGAATAAACGACGAAAAGCAAAAAGATTTAACCAGCTACGGTGATTCTACTGAAAAATAATGGTGTTTTCTGAAAGACCTAGTCCGTGATGACACGACTGACGCACAAGTGATCCGAATTGTTCGTTCATTTGCAAACAAATAAACCGATTTCTTGAGCAAGTTAACCTTTCCCGATGACAAATAGCATAGGATCAAAGCACACGTAAAAAAAACCCACCCAAAAAAACTAAATTTTGGACATTCTTGGAAGTTTGCATTGGTGTGCTCAAAATGACAGTCCAGGAATCACTAAAAAACGAACATTTTTGGCACAAAATTTACAAACTCAAGATTGTAAAGCTGACATGGGGTCTGAAACTGCTAGTGCAGAAAAAAAAATTTTCTGAGAAATTTAGATGTTAGATGGTCACTTGGGGATTCTGAATAGGCCGTCGTTATTCACACGGGGGGGGGGGGGGGGGGGGGGGGGGATAAAAGGTGAGAATACACTGGATTTTTATTCTTACCTGGGTGTTGAGAACGGGTAGGCCTACATGTAGGCTAATAGGATGATAGAAAATAATTTGTGAAATTTTATATATATATAACTAAGAGTAACTGTTCGTGACCTGCCGCTGAGCGCTGGCCGATTTTCTTACACTCCCATGGGGAATGTTGTTTCATTTTTTTAAATCTTGAGAGTATGCATGCATATTCTTCACCAAAACCGTAGACAAATGTGTATTCTTAATTCAGAAAGGAATTGACTGGTCAGAGTAGTATGTTTTTAAAAATAATAGCCTTAACTGAAAGCTGTGTTTAATGAAATAATGTTAGTAATAGTATGTCATTGTAAAGTTAGAATTGGATTTGTTTACAACACAATAAACATGTTATCCCAGAACCCTCGAAGGCACGCAGTGCCTTGACTCTAGGCTTATTTTTTTCTTGATTTTGATGGGAACCTTTCAAGAGTAAAATCCAGGACTGAAGTATTCTTCTGTCTTGGGTAAAATTTCCATAACAGAACCATTAACAGCAACAAAAGGTGATGCTATATTTGCTCAAAAGATAAGGTTTTCCCCCCAAATTGACAATAGTCGTCTCCCGTGCTTGAGAGCTGGCCCGCCCGTTGGCGATTTTAGTCGCCTCGTGTGCTCAGCGGAGTGAAAGAGGGAGACGAGTTTTGTCGCCTGGAGCGCTCATATGATGGGGGGGTGGGGGTGGGGTGGGGGGGGGTGTCCTATGATGCCCGAAACGAAACAAAAAGGGCGGAAACGAAAAAAGCGGGTGAGAATACTAGGCTGTCGTTATTCTCACCCGGGTTGAGAGTAATATCCATTTTATCCTCACCCCGGGTGAGAATAATCTCAGTGATGTGCATGATAACTATTATATGACAGAAAATCTGTATTAGTGAAAAAATTTGAACAACCCCATCTGTTTAAAGTTAAAGTTGGTATTTTTTCTACTTTTTATGCCAGTATCTAGCCTTTAAAAAAGAAAAAAGAAAATTCGCGTCCGATTTTGTGATATTTGATATAACATGTCATCATAGTTATGCACGTCGGATAGCCTGACCAAAACAGTTCTGTCCAACTTTTCTGTTGTGATATCAATTTGTCTGTCTTTATTAAGTTGTATACTGACATATCTATTTCAGTCTTCCCGTATGAGAGAATGGACCATTGATATTTCGTTACCAATACTTGATGGTATCTGAATGTTGACTACTCTTTCCTGGGTCAGAAACTAGGAACACTTTGAAAAGGACAATCTATCAGTTACAAAAAGCCTTCACTTTGCTATCATGCCTTCTTAGGCTTTAAAATGAAACCCCATATAATTATTTTGTTTAGAGTCACAGCAATAATACACATCATAATAAGTGTTACCCGTATTTTATATATATATTACTTCTATAATGTATGTGATATTTGTACTTAATTTTGCTGTCTATTTTCAGTATTTGTTCCAGGGCTAATGGCATGGGCTGAAAACTCAAAATGAAGCTGGATGAGTTTGAAATCCGCTTTGACAATGCCCGAGGGGTGTTTGCCGCCGGCCAGCATGTTAGTGGACATGTTGTTGTCAAGCTCACCAAACCTATGAAAATGAGATGTAAGTTCCCTGTTAGTAAAACCCCTTAACATCTGCTTGTTTCTTCACAGGCCATAAGGTAGATGAGTTTTTAGGAGTCCAGTGGTTATTTTTGTGCAGGACAGATTACTGTATTATTCTAGCAGGCAGACAGGTTGTTGTTCTGTTATCACCGTCAGTAGTGTGCTACTGTTGAAATTTGTTGTGAAATTATATTTTTTATTGAAGGTTACTCATATAATTGTGGATTGATGTCCCAAGAGGGATCAGTAAAAGTGTATTTTCTTTGTTTTAATTATTTTTTGATGTGGTACTGAGTATCCAGGTCCTTTAGACTGTACTGTATTGAGTATTTTAAAGTCAGTATTTGATAATAATACATTGTTGTATACTCTTCACTCCTTTTCAGTAGCAGTACTAAAGACCAACTTTCCAGCTGAATAATTGAGTGTTTTTTTGGTTTTTGTTTCCAGGTACAAAACTTTTCAATCTCTGAATTTTTGTAATAATTATGTGGAGTTTGTCATGTATAGTTGCACTCCTTGACATCATATCAGTAAAAAGACAAAGGCTCAAAATATGTTGATTTCATTAATCCAGGTATTGAGCTGCATTTTGAAGGTCGCGCCAAGTCTCACTGGGAGGTGCGGCAAGGTCGTAGCAAAACAGATTACAGAGCAGGGGAGAACTACATCACAGAGAACATCACGCTCTTTGGCACAGGTGATGACTTTTTCGTAAAAGCCCGAGGAGATAGGCTAGCAATCAGGGAGTGGGTGGTTGGTGGGTGTTTTGGTATGGTTTGCTCCTTCTTTCCTATGAAACATCTGTCATCCTTATATCTCTCTTCCTTCTGTTTTGTGAATGCTACTCTCTTGTAACACCTCTAATCTTTAGCACTTTTATGAGACCTAATTGTGTTGCAAGTGCAGTAAGACTTTTATCAAAACTAAAGCAAAGCAATCAAGGTCCCGACAGTACACAGGACTGAGAAGAAGTACATGTTTTATTTGAGGAAGGAAGGGAAAAAGTCCAATCTCAATTAGATATTATGTTGCTCTTCTTTTTTTTTTTGGGTACTGCTCATTGTCAGCTGGCCCACTGTGTCTAACAGGTGCTGATTCATGACAAAGTCTGATTTTACAACTTTTCTTGGTTTCTGTAGTAGTTAACACAACCCTAACATCAGTATGTATCAAATGTATTGTTATATTATGTTTGTTATTATTTGTAGGTAGAAGAAAAATATAATTATTACCACTACTTCTTACTATTACCTCTTGTTTTATTTTTTTCACTTGATATTATTATTATTGCTGCTGTTGCAGTTGCTTTTACTTTTGTTATTGTTTTGCTTTCAGGTCAGTCAAGTACAGAGCACCCGTCTGGATATCACTCTTACCCGTTCAGACTTCTTCTCTCTGAGACTCTCCCGTCTTCTTTTGAGGGCCGGCGTGGGTATGTGCGCTACTTCTGCAAGGCTACCATCAACAGGCCGTGGAAGTTTGATGAGCACATCAAGAGAGCATTCACTGTGATTCACCACCTAGACTTGAATGCTGTGCCAACGGCTGCTGTGAGTTACACTCTGTTGTTTCTGTCTATCACCCTGACTACCCATGACATACCATGATTTGAATTGCCTATTTAAACAGACAGTTGTGTTGTTATTGAAAGACAGCCTGAATTAAGGCGCTGTGCTGCCAGCAAAAACTCAACGAATTATCGACACTCATTTCATAGGCTAAGGATTATATGCCTTTATGGTAACAGTAAAGTTGTTCCTTCTTCCGATCCGGACATTGGGGATTGGCTTGTTAGTGAGACAACTTCCCGTTCCTTTCCACGCCGCATTTACTTCCCCAACTCGAAGTCAGGTACCCATTACTGCTGGGTGGGCAGGAGGGGGTGAAAAAAATCTGTGTCCGAACCGAGGCTCAAACCCGGACTTTCCGCTTCAGAGACGAGCGCACTAACCACTCTGCCACCGCACCCTTTATGGTACTAGACTGAAAAAAAGCATTTTTGCTAAATATTTATTTTTTACAGTAAAAATATGATACACTCAGTTTCATTTTGGAAATGGTTACATTTATAGTTAAAGTGAAGGCTAAAAGTAAGGTTACTTTTTGACAAATTTAGATAGATTAAATAAAATGTGTTTTCCATTGAGGGGGAAAACAAGATTTGCCATGAGTCTGCAGGATGAAGAGAGATGGCTGCTGCCAAAGTTATTTCTGATGCTGCACGTTCAGCAAGCGCATGAACTACTGATATCTATGTCTAGCCCTAATGAATCATAGGGGCTGTGTGTTAGGAAGAATAATTGAACTTCAGATTGTCATCACTAGGAGCTTTTGAGATACGGAGTGCTTATTGGCCCACATGGGCATATAAAATTTCCCCCAGAACATTTATTATTTGCCCACAAAATTGCGAATTATCTCCCCTGTGTTTGGTTTCTCCCCCCCCCCGCTGTTTTACCTGCTCGTGCTTTCCGCTTGTCTTGCCTTTGTTAGCCTAGCCAGTTCTTCTATTCCTTTTCTCTTTTCACATTCACAACCGTCAGCTCGTTCGTCACGCCCGTCTGCACCCGTTTTTCTTTCCCCATTAGAACATTATAACCATCGCGCCCTCATTACCTCCAATCATGACGCTAAATGTTGGGGACACCTTTCAGTCATTCACGGAATGTGAGAATGCACTGAATATGCTTAGATCTATTTGTTCTTATTCTTTTTTTTCACATCTTGGAAAATGGCCTACCATGTCTTGAAAATTTGCATTTGAAATCCACAAATGATAAAAATTACAGCAGCAAAATCACAATTAAATATCAGAGAAATTATTTTATATTATAATTATACACTTCTCAAACGCTTAAGTTGATATTATATTTTACACCAGTGACATGACATTTTAAGTTTTCAGTTAGAATAAAAGTAAGTCAATTTCTACTATAGTATTAAGGAAGTATAGAATGACTTCCAAACCAACAAGATCCCAAAAGGTAACAAAAACTCACTTGTGTTATTAAGGATACAGAATGCTAATAGTAATAGCCGTATTTATTAATTCTTAATGATCTTAATTATCAAAAACTATTAAAGCTAGAGAAAGAACGAAAAGTCCTCTCATCTTCAAAAATAGCTCAACGAATTAGTCCATCAATCACATATTTTAAATTGAGAATGTATGGATCTAGTTTTCCAATCTACTGCTAAAAATAAAAAGATGAACAATAGAGTAACTAAGTATTGCACATCTTCATCTTGTTATCCAATACAGTATACATTGAGTAAACAAAGAAATTACTCAATTATACCGTAATATATTGTTTGACGAAAGAAGCAAGCCCACATCCAGAGAACCTAAAATCTAAATGAAATACTGTTCGCAGACGATCAAAGTGTACTGCATAACAATAACACTGAACAGCAGGAACACGCTGACAAACAATCAAATCTGTAGAAATGTGTGCGAGATGGAATGCCTCAGGAAAACATTAACAAGAAGGGATAAAGTGAGAAAAAATAAAAGAGAACAAGTTGGGACAACACCATGTATGAAATACATTGAAAAACAACGCATTAAATGACCCATGTTGGCCAATAAGTCCGAACTTATTTGCTCATATGGGCCTATAAGCCCCAGCTTATTTGCCCGTGTGGGCCAATAAGAGCAGTCTTTGAGATATGTTCCCCAACAGTTGAATGAGAAAACACAGACTCCTGGTGGGCCTGAGGAGTGGGTAAAAGTGTATTTTAAGTTTTTTCATTCCTTTGTGGCTTCAAAATGCAGGCAAAGGAGATTGCAATAAACAATATGGTTCACTCTCCATAATCAAACAGAAGTATCAGTGCAGAGACTGGTCCATTTTGAAAGTGGATGGGGCTGCGGCATTGTTTGTTTTCAATGTTACCTCTTATTTGTTTTTTTTTTGGGGGAAAGCTGTTTGTTGGCATGCATAATGGCCGTAAAGTGCAACTCAGAAACTACTTTATTGTTTGCTCCTTCTTTCCTATCAAACATCTATCGCCTTTATCTCCTATTTTTTGTGTGTTTGTTACTCCCTTGTAACATCTCTAATCTTCAGCACTTATATAACCTTATTGTGTTGTAAGTGAGGTAATACTCTTACGAAAACGAAAATGTTCTGCCCAGATGCCGTTGTGGGGAGAAAAAGAAGCAACTATTGAGGGTTGCTGCTGCACCTCTGGTACTCTCCATGCGAGTCTAACACTAAACAAGACAGGCTATGTACCTGGGGAACCCATAGATTACACAGTGGAGATCAACAACCAGTCAGACAGTGATGTCATGGGACTGGAGCTTGACCTAAAGCAGGTTTGTCGTAGTGTGCTTCTTCTGGTCCAGACAATTTTAAGTAATATGTTGTACTACTTCTTTTCTTTCCATCTGTTGTTTCTGTCTGTTTTGCTTTTTTTCCCCCCCACTAAATCACTAATATCGGGTCACTGTGCTTCTCTTTACTCAAATAAACAAAACATGATATAGTATATTAGTCCAATGGAAGTCTCAGTGTCACTGATCCTTGTTTGGTGCCCGCCGCTGTCTTTCTGGTAAGTTCTCTTGCTGTGAAAAGTCGAACATGTAGTCACAGATTTGTTAGTCGAGTGAGATTCATATCTCTCTCAAGGATACAGTGGCATCGCCAGGAATTTGTTCCTTGATCTTGGGACAGTGAGCCTGATATTGAATTCTTAAGTTCTTTCAGTCTGAAGAATCTTTCATGTGAATAGGGAACGAAGTTACCCAAAATATAAATGTACCCAAAAAGGGGGTGGGTGGGGGAGAGATTTTGGTTGGAGTGAATAAAATCGTGAATTCTAAGGTGAATCGTTTTGAAAATAGGTCAAAAGATTCTTAAGAGTAGGATGTAGGTACCTCTGGGAATGGATGTTTTTTTCTGCAGTCCATTTTCCTTGTTATCAATTAACTCTGATCATTGGCATCATGCAAAGAGGATCAAGTGTGGCAGTTTGGATTTCTTTGAGTGCTCGAAAAAAAAATAAATGCAACATAAATTGATATTGATGTTTTTGTCTTAAATTTGGAATGTGACCACATTTTATTGCGCATTTTTTGCACATTTCTTGGTATTGAATTGAGATATGATGTTCCTTCTAACAATTCTCTTTTAAAAATTTGGATTTTGAATTTTATAATTTGCTTGTGTAATTTTGTTTACAAAGTGTTGTGTTTGCCTGCAAAATATAATGTATTCTTTGTTGGAAGTTTCAAATGTTAAAAGACAAAAACAAATGTGTGGCAGATCCTACGAAGGCTAACATTTCATTTGATTGGAGAAATTAAGCCGTCCGTGACTTTGGAATTTCACTCTTTTTGTTTTCAGACTGTGAAATATACAGGCTATTCAGACAGCATATTTTCCTCTGGCCATCCAAAGTTTCACACTAAAGTGGATAATTTTCCCTTGTACAATGGACCATTCTTTGTGCGGAAAAACTGCACTGAGCGTCTCAGCAAGTCTATATGTGTTCCAGCACTCCCTCCCTCCAAACTTGATGGATGTGGGATCATTGACATTACGTATCTCATTGTTGTAAGTTGATCCGTATACTATATTCCTAGGATTTAATTATTTTTTTTCATTGTTTTATTATTACATAATTCTGTCCTTGACTGTGACTCAAGAAACTCAAAGTCTAATTTCTTTGCAGATATCTTGTTTCTTCTCTCTTGTGTTTTTACAAATTGTTCTAGGCATATGGCCTTTCTCTAATCTATATAGTTGACTCTTAACTCCCCCCCCCCCCCACCCCCTTATTTTATGTTGTCTGGATTCTATTTTTATATGTATTCAGAGTAGCTTCCTTCAAAACTGTGTACAGGAATAAGAGTGAGAGATAGGCACAAGCTCAAAAAGCTACAGGTGTGAGCTGTACTGGCATTTGTTATTATGCGTAACCTCTTGTATCTCCTAGATGCCTTTATGTTGTTTCCTTGAATGTAATTTGTCTCATGTATGGATGGAATAAAAGTAAAATTGTAAAAATATTTTCCGTCACGATACTTTGAAATGTTTCACAGATGCAGCCCATCATGCGGTGGTCGTCGCTGCGGATAGAGAAAGAGATCATCATCGGCACCATTCCCTTACAGAGCCCTATAGGAGCTCCACCCCCCTTCAGCGAGGTTGCCTTGGATGGGCTGACCAGCCCCAGTGCTCCGCCAGAAGACTTCATGATGCCCCCACCATACCAGGAGCGTATGTGTCCACTTTTTTCATTTTGCTGTGTTGTTACTGCTCTTGTGGGATTTTATTTCTGGGTGGCTGGCGGGTGCTCTGGTGTGGTTTGCTCCTTTTTTCCTATCAAGCATCTGTCGTTCCTATCTCCTTTCTTTCTTGTTTATGTTTGTTCCTCTCTTTTAACACTCTAATCTTTGACACGTATATGACCTAACTGTGTTTGCAAGCAGTGTAAAACTCTCACTTAAACAAAAGAAAAGGGATTTTATAATTGTGTATCGTCATGAATTTTCATGAGTTTAAGGAAGCTACTTTTTTGTACTGTTATTTTGAATTCTGGGATATGTTTGCTGTAATTGTGAATGTTGGCAATAATCTTTTAAAATGTCAGATATTTGGTGCAGTATGTATTCGAAATATGCAAGCTTTTTGTATCATCGTCCCGAATCCTGATAGCTTTGTACTGTTCAGGTTGTTAATGAATGAAAATTAAAATAACCGGATGAAAGTCTGGAAATTAAAGGGCAGCCCATCATTACAAATTTGGCAGAATTGTTGTTTCTGGGGGGGGGTTTTGGTTTTTAAAAATTCGTAGCACCCTTGATTTTGATTTTTGATAATACATTTGCTTCCCCAACCCATCCCAACCTTCGCGGCATATAGGTTAGAGAAACTGATCTCGACTGTCTACGCCACAATGTCATGTGCAGCTGTCTAAGTTTAACTTAACACATTACACCCTAAAGGTCCGGACGGGAAGTCCATTGTTAGATCGTAAGCAAGGGGAAGGAACCCACCTCCCGTGAATACAAGCGTTTAAAAAACACATTAAAAAAATACTAAACAAATTTTTTAAATCCTGAAAAAATAAAAGTTTAAAAGAAAAATGAATGTAGTTTCAGAAAAGTATAACTTTATGTATGCGCAAACTGTTGGAAATGTTCTAACTTTAGTACAATCAAGCGGGATGTCCGACCTGTCTCTCTCACTCTCAGCCTCACGGTCGAGCCCTAGATCTAAATTCTAGATTTTCTACGTCTGATCAATCTGAATCACCCCAAACTCTTGCTACAACGTTTTCATCAAATTCTGAGTCATCTGATTTGTTTTTGCTCAAATCCATCGTTATTTCCTTTTTCGAACTTAATTGTGTCGTTTTTCAACAAGTCAAGACACCTTCGAAGTGTCGGTAACGCGATCGCGCGTTGGTCGGCTCTAATACTAACATTTTTGGCCAGAAAAATTTCGTTTCGTTATCAAACGAAAAAAGAAACTTTTTGCAATAACTATGCAAATCAAAATCTCGACCACAGGGTCTCGTCAAGGCGAGCTCTTCATTTCTAAAGACGCTAGGTTGGCACGGGCGGTTCCGGGCGAGTCAGGGTGGAGTGCGTAAGGGAATTCCCGGGCAAGTTAGGGTGTAATGTGTTAAGCACCATCTGTGCACTAAACAGAAAAAAAACCCATAACAAAACAAACACTCGTCATGTCAAAGCCAGGAGTAAGGCCAAGATTAATTTGACAAGGTGTTGAAATATTCCAATGCCTTTGCGTAGTAGGTGACGGCTGAGGTCAGTGAGAGAATGGAAAGAAAAACCAATCTCGTTTGACACTTGAAACAACCAGCTGGGGTGTGTGGCACATTGTAGTGATGTACAATCAGGATCAAAGGTTTATTACACGTCCTGTTGGTTCCTTTGGTTTTTGCAAGAGTCAAGCTGACAGCTACCTACCTACCCCCCTCCCCCCCTCCCCCTTGACCCTTTTTGGTTTAGGTGTCCAATGTTTACATTGTCTTCAACAAAATTAACCTTGGTTGATAGCCTTTTTGTTAATTTGGTAACGGGGCTTGCATTTTTTTGTCATGGGAACACAGTGGGGTTTTTTATTTGACTAAAATAGGTACCTGAAAATTAATATTCTGTTGACGAAAATGGTTTCATGTTGGTAAAATTGCATCAGATGATCTTTATTTAAAGAATGTATGTTGATATTTTGCAGCCCCGCCTTCCTATGAAGAAAGCGTGTTTGGTCGTGTTGAGATACGTGATGAGAATGATGACGGGCACACAGAAGGCTTGCAGTCTTGGGCTCCTTCCTACCCTTACTACCACTGGGACCCCAATACAAGGCATTTTCAGGTGAAGATAGTGATTGACCCATCTTTTGAGTTTATTGTATTTCTTGTGTTTTTATAACCAGTATTTGACTAAATGAATATTGTTTGCTTACCTCTCCACACGGTGTAGGAAAAATGTGGAGTTGTTCATTTTTCTTGCAATTTGTGGACTGTTCAACTTCATGTGAAGCATCATGTCTTATTTTCATTGGCCAGATGTAGGCAGGTAAATATAATTCCTTGTTGGTGAGGAGAAGCAGTGTGAATGTAGCCACCTACAGTACCCAATATGAGGTGGTAAAGTGTACCAATGCTGCACACATACGTGTTTACGTGATTAACATTGAATTTCTGGGTCGGAAATATGCAACGTTTAAATCTTTTTGTGTTTAATTGTCCTTTAGTTCCGTAAAGAATAAACTGTAAAGATATGTGGCGTCGGTGGCCTAGTGTTTAGGCTACCGGACTCGTGATCATGAGGTTGCGGGGTCGGGGATTCGAGCCGCGGGCCTGATGTTGCGTCCTTGGGAAAGGCACTTTTCACGAATTTTCCTCACTTCACCCAGGTGGGAATGGGTACGCGGCAATAGACAGCGAAAGATCTTGTCAGTATGTTACTGTTTTAGCGCCTATAAATGACTGCTTGCACTGTATGCTTCCCAGGAAGTTGAGGTTGTTTCAGAATGCTCTCAGGTCTGCTAGGGTAATAGTATAGATTGTGAAGCGCTTAGAGCCTGTTGTTGAGCAGGGATTTGCGCTATACAAATGCTTTCTTTTATTATTATTATTATATTTCCCTTTCATATGAGGCCCATTGGATGGAAGCTTATCCTGATTTCTTACTATAACAACTTATTTCTCCTTTAGTAAGATTTCGATTTTATATCATTCGCAGTATTTCATGTAGCCTAGTGGTTTCAACAGTTGCAATCGTATAAGCCACGGGGAAGCTCAGAGTAGGATATTGCACTTGAATGGAGACAAAAGCTATGGGACAATGTATGTCTAACTTGTTGGTGTTTCCATTGATAGTAAGTTAAGTATTTCCCTGGTGTTCTATTTCAGATGGTGGCAACTACACACGGCACGGTGGGAGACTCTGCCACTCCGAACCCTCCCATCACAACACAACCTATGGGACTTCAGGACCAGTCTGGGGATGCCTTCCCTCCTTGCCCGCCATACAACCAACTCTGATATTTGCTCGCTGTGCTTAAAACAATGCAAGTCAAGACACTGCTACGAATTGTGAATTCGAGACGTGTCCAGCACTTTTAAAATTATCTTTCAGGCTTTTCCAGGGTTGATCTGTTTTCTGTCCTTTTTTCTTCTCTTTATACTCTGGGCACAGGGCCAAGTGCTCTGCCTTCAAAACAGCCGGTGTCTAGTAGGGACTTGAAGGAAAAGAAAAGAGTGCTTTATTTGTCCTCCCAGAGATTAGGTTTACATTGGTGAAGACATAACTTTAACAGCGTACAATTTAACTTGGTAAGAACTACATCCAATGGAAATACAAAACGCTGTTGTTGGTTGCAACAGGCAAGGCTGGGGCTTGTTGTTTTTTTTTAAACTAAGGTTATTATTTTTAGCTTAAAGACCAATTGTAGTGACCAACTGTTTAAAGGCTGTCCCAGCAACATAGTTGACTTCCCTTACATGAAAGGTTGCTGGAAAGGCAAGGTGGATAAAAAAGTAAGAAGTCCATCATCATCATCGTCAATGCCTTTCACCCCTGGCAGGGTATAGGCCACATACAAGCTCCTTCCATTTATCTCTAACCTGGGCCGTCCTTCCTAGCTCGTGGGAAGTCCATACATGAGTGAAAAGCTGTATTCTGTTCATTTTTTTCCTCAGATATTGATAAAAGGACCAGAAATATTTGGTCTTTAAAGACACCAAGCCAAGTCTTTAAATTTCAGCCGTTTTTGATTTGTTCTTTTACCATGTGTTATCATTATCATACATATTAAATCATGAGATGAGCACAGGTGCTTTATGATGATAACCCATCACTAACCAGGGGCCATGTGATTTTTCAGATTTTCGACTAGGTAGTCTTTGGAATGAAAGTTTGCCTGTGGCTGTGGTATGATATTTTTCTACCTTGCTGCCTTTATTTTTGGAGATGTTTGATATGAACCTGAGAAATGGGAGCTAAGCATGACAATAAGATTGCTGTTAGGTGTTCTGTTTCAAAGACATTTCTTGATTCCAACTGATTTTTTCATGGTTTTGTTCTTAAGAATTGTTAGGTATAATTGCACTGTATTCACACAATTTTTTAATGAGCTTCACATGACAAAACAAATCGAAGATTTTGCAGACCGAGCTTCAAATCTGCTCAATAAATTTTTCACCATTTACTCATTTTTTGTCAGAATTTTTTATATTTTTGTTTCATAAATTCCATTTTAGTCACCCTTATTTAAAACAAATATATATTATTAACACTTTTTAATTTGAATGTACCATGTTATTAGAGGAAACTAATCATTATAAATAATAAAATGTAATCATAAACAATGACCAGTGTCTATTTTTTCAGAGACATTGTGTCATTTGTAAATGTCTGGACTCCCGATGCCAAATTGTGGTGTTGCATGATTATAAAGCATAAGCAGCATGATAATGTATTTATTCACCTTTCACTTAAACTCTGTCCAAATTTATTGACTGATTTATTGGAATGCACCTCACATAGTATGCTCTCAAATTGTACTGTTTGTGTCAGCCACTTATAATACATGCATTGTATCATGATAATGCTCTTTTAATAAGAATTATATTCGTAATTTTTTTTAACAACTGCATTGTGGGTGGACAGATAAATAAAGGTGAAGGGGGAGACTAAGAATAATGCCATATAAAGAATAGTTGCCATGACTATTTGAATGCATTGCACAAACACTAGTTCAAAGGTGAGGAACCCGAGGAAATCAGACTTGGCTGGCAATATGAATGTTTAAAAGAACTGGGCGATTAGAAAGCTTAGACCTGGAACAAATAATTTTCCCTCTTGATTACTTGTTGCTTGCCACATTAAAAAGTAAAACTGCCGTGTAGCAAGCTTCTCTGTTGAAGGGCATCATTTGGTCCTCTGTACTGTTAAATTATACGTAAATTTGTACAAAAGTTGTCTTCTGTGTAAAGTGATATTAATTTGGCTACTTGTTTGGATGTGTTAAGGTGAGCGGGTATTTCTATAACTGTGCAATTCCCTACTTCTAGTTATATGTGCTCGGGCATACCAGCCTAACCTGAAATATTTTTTGGGTTTTATGGTTTTGAATATATTGGAAAGCTTACAGGAAGTCCAAGATTTTACTCCGTCATAACAGGCATATGTACAATAATTAACATGAACTGAAGTTGTCTAATTGAGTTGGATGGAATTATTGTTTGAATTAATGAACATATTCACCTTTTTATGTTTTTGAGTTAGGTCTAGTGATCACTTTAAAGGGAATCTTTCTTGCCACATGTTTTCACATTTGCAGTGCAGAGAGACCTTAAGTCTCTGTCTGCAGAATTTTTTGCAATTATTGTTTTGGGGGGATGTAGGGGGAAAAGTATTTCCATAGTTTTTTAGCCAAAATATTTTCTTCAAGTGGTTTTCTGAACAAATCTAAGCATGCCTCCAAGAGCTGATCACTGACGTCTGTGGTATAGTGACTTCGATACCCACATCTGTCTACTGAGATGCAGCCCATGCAGTCATGGATAGCCTTGACAGGCTTAGTCAAAGTTGTCCATTCCTTTGTGATGATCTATATTTTGTCAATGGGAGCATAAAATGATTGCATTTATTAAGAAGGTTGATCAAAAATGTAAATTCTTCTATTACCAAGCAGTTGTTCCTATTTGCTTTTGTTTGCTGTTTTGAACCTGACACTTACTCAACAACTGCAGAGATTTTTTTAACGAGATTTTTCTGATTTGGTTGTTTCTATAATTATCCTTTCATATTGAACTCTTAAATAATGTGTATGGTTTGATCTCTTTGTCATATATATGTCTTGTATTATGTAGGGGACCGAAAAGACTAGATCTTTTCCTTGTTGGTAAAGAATTCTCACCCCTATTTGATAGCTTCTGTCCTTAGTTTTGACTTCTTTCCATATGCAGCTGTTTTGTCATAGATTATATCCAGAGACCCTGATGTCCAGTTTCATGGCCAAAAGGCTTTTGTAACTTACACACAAAATCCTAACCATGTGAAAGGTTAACTAATTGATTGTAATTTCTACCCAGTCATACTTAATACTAATAGTCTTTAAAAGGTCCTATAGATGTTGTTCTTCTGATGTTTTGATTCTGCCTTACGAGTGATATTTGTCGAAAGGTTTCTGTCACAGTCACATTTATTTATTTGAATTTTAAGTCTTTCATTTTTTCTTACAACCAGATCAGCTATGTACATGTGCTTGATCTCCTTTATGGTATTAGAGCATTGATCTTTTCGTGTGGAAGAGGGGTCTGTGTATGACAATCTTTCATGGAAATCCATCAACTCAATACATTTTAAAGATTGTTTTGTTTTGAAATTATTTGTATTCTCAAAGTACACATGTTTGTTCAAAAGTGAAAACATTGCCTTTGTGTTGTTATTCTTATTTCTAGTTTTGGGGATTTTTTGTTTTGTTTTGTCTTTTGAAGAGATAACAATTGCTTGTTCCTTGCCCTTTTATTATTATCCTTCTTGTACTATATGAGTTAGATTACCATTATTTGTATTTAGCTGCGTTAAGTGCAGGAACGTAGACTCAACATGTGACAGTTTCGCCACATCATAGTGTTAAAGATGGACCCCCACCTGTAACTGATTGGCTTGCAGATGACATTAGGCTGTTAGGTGCAGAGTAGCAAAGGTATGTGAATGAATGTATGAAAGTACAAGGATTGATGACTAGAGTTCAAATCTGCAGATTTTACTGGGTCTATGTCAAAGGTACAAGCTGCTTGATCAACTCAGGAAGCTTTATCTGATTCAGTCTTACTATGTGGATGGTTTGTAGGAGCTCTTGTCTATCCTCTTTTTCTCTCCATCTTTTCTTTGAATGTTACACTCTGGTAACACCTTTAATTTGCGGCACTTACATGAGTTTTTGTTATTTCAAGTGCTGTAGAACTCTTATTAAAACGGAAACTAATTCTTTCTGCAATGCATGATGTAGTGTAGGAAACAGAAGGGAGCTCTTGTCGAGTCAAAACTTTTGTTACATTTCTTCTGTTATCTCCATTTATTCTTCTCTCTTTGGCAACATCTTCATGATCATGAGGCGAAGTGCTGCTTTACATATTAATATTAAAATGTCTTTTTATAAAATTATTTAGAGGTGCAAAATTTATTGAGATTAAACGGGTTGTTGAAGGGTGCCACTGGCAGATCCTACTTCTTTACTTTCCCTCTGTTGTTACTTTTCCAGGCACTAAATGACCTTTATTGTTTTGATGTGTTTCTCTTTACTTAAACGCAAACAGAGGTTTAAAAAGATGGGAAAAGTCACCACAAAACTTATAAACATAGTGTCCATTTGACGTGTCCCCTCAAAAACACACATATGCGCGAACATACAAAACATACACACTCACACACACTCACATACACACACACACGGGCGCACACACACACACACACACACTCACACACTCTTTTGCATGGGTATGTGCATATTGAGTATGTGCTCTCAAAAATACACACAAATTCCATGGTTTTTCTTGCTCTATATAGGTGCCAGTGTGTGTAAGGGTTGCCATTGATCCACTCACAATGAAAAAGTTATGTTTTGAGTCTTGTTGGGAAATGCTGACCATGTGCTATTTGTATATTGGTTTATAATATGTGTCATGACGCAGTGGAATCGGGTGCTCATCTATTTTTGGTCTTGTGAAGTTATTGGTATCATCTTAAAGGTTGTTCATTTGTCTTGCTTTCGATGAAAAAACTATCCTGTTATCTTGAACACAACTCAAAATATTTGCAACTGAATGAGGTAGGGGTCGCCTGATCTCAGAGGTAAAATTAGTGGAAAATGGGGCCGAAGTTTTGTTATTTCCTTAGCTTGAGAGTCCGTGGAAACAGAGAATGTACATTTTTCGTGCTTTTAGTCAAATGTTTTTCAGTACTAATATCCACACAGGAATGTGTTCTTTAATAGACATGAAACGTGTTGAGCCAGAAAACAAAAATTCGATAAAAATTACCAAACCTGTGGAAAAATATTAGTTTCTTCTGTTTCATTAATTTGACGAGTGCCTGATTTCACAATGCTGCCTCTCATATGACTATGAGTCATGGCCAGGATAAATGTCATTTAATTCTACAGTTTCTTTTCGTTCTGATGTTTCAACATTGAATTAGGAAGTAGATATTCAATACTGGTATTGTACTGGAAGTGTTAACCATAATAAATTGAGCACAATTATATTTAATAGTACTTGCAAGTGTTTCAGCTTTTTTTTTTCCCAGTTAAAGCCGCTCAGCCCACCAACATTCCACTAAATGAGTACATAGTAGTATTTATGCAGAGGCCAACCGCAGATGCCTGAAAATGTATGAATAAGAGAAGATTTATTGATATCTTTGAAATAACTTTTCTACAGAGTGTATTCTAGAAAATACAAATGTAGCAGTCTCTTTTTTCTGCAAGGTTATTGTTTAATATAATCAGGCAAAGTACTTTTAAATCTCTTAGTTTAAAAGCTCATTGTCTCAGGTTTCCTTTTCCAGATCATTGTCTCTTCTTTATTACTATGCAGTGCTATTTAATTCCATGTTTATTTACAGAATCTATTATTTGTCTTTATGTGCTTTCTTTCTAACCATGAAAAGTTTTGAAATCATTTTGTCTTTGAAAATTATATATGACATTGAAAAAAGAACACCAGTGACTTACAATGCTTGCATCACAAAACGTCCATTGCCTTTTATTTTGTCAATTCTCCTTCTGTCCGTGGGAAGCCACAATTCTTATTTGTCACCACTTAGAAACATCAGGCCAAAATTTATTCAAGTTACCTTACAATTTTACAGGGTGATTATGTCTTAATAAAGCCTTTCTTTCTCTCTGCCGTATGATGCATTTTTTTAAAAGTTAAATGAATGTGACTGTCACATGTAGGTACTTAGGGTAATTGCAGATGGGGGATTTATGCTGGGTCCACCTACTTCTGTGGTCTCACAAATATTACCAGATTGAAAAGCAGAGACTTCTGTTCTAAAGTAAACATGTAACTACTGTAAAAATATTTCACTTCATAATCTACTTATATTTTGTTTCAACAGAGGTATAGTTTATGAGACATTGTTTCCATACTAAATTCCCTTCCCCCTCCTGCAAAACCTTATGAATATATGTATCCCATTGGGTACTGTGAAAATTGTTGATGGCATTCTTATTAGAACATGATAGCAAAAGAAAATGGAGGATTTTTCAGTTTTCGCATATTATGATTTTATTAGGCTTGCCTATATTATAT